TTTCTTTAAGTCTTGCCACTAGAATGTAAGTTTAAGTAGAAGAGCTAACTGTTCTGCTTTGTGCATTCATAGCCATGACTTTTATAAGAGCCCTGAGCACAGAGTAGATTGCAGTTAATGTTGTTGAATGAATGACTTATTATAAATCCAGTAGAATACCATGTAATATTAAAGAGAAGAAAGAACTCTTTTTAAGAGAAATGGCATTTGAAAGTCACCTGGAAAACAGATATATGCCAGGCAAAGTGGCTACACATCTTTAATCTCAGCACTCAGGATGCAGTGGCAGGTAACTTTCTGTGAGTTTGAGGACAGCCTAGTTTACAAAGTGAGTTCCAGGACTGTCAGGGCTGTTATACAGTGAAACCATATCTCAAAATAGGAAGGAGGAGGAGGAGGAAAAGAAGAAAAGGAAGGTAGAGAAGGAAGGAAAGAAAAGAAAATGGACATAAGAGATGAATTGATTTTCCCAGACCATAATAACAGGTTGAACGTGTTCACATTGATGCAAAAGGAGTTATTATATCGTCTATCTTTTAGTTGAATTGAATATTGAGTGTATATATAAACACAGGGGTAAATACATTTCGGTTAGTGGGTTGAGGCTAGATATTGCAAAGCTCCCAATACAGAGTAAAACAAACTAAAACAGGTCAACTATTAGTATGAAAGTGACATGCCAGGACTCTCAGTAAATTTTGTGGTGGATGTGTGCCAGAGTTGAGAAGAGCTACAAGGTCATTGAGGGAATCAGAAAGCTCCAGACCTCAGCACTGGCTGAGAGCATGGAGAGAGGCCAAAAGATAGTGTCTTGAAAGGAGTTTTATGCTCATAGAGGACAATAAGATACAAGGCACATAGAACTTATCTCTTCATTTTCTCCTGACCTGCACCAACACAGTTCTCTATTTCACTTTGCTAGTGCAATCTGGACTTTGAAATAACAGACAGGTTTAATTATTGTGGCTTCAAGTCATTAGCCTGAGAAGCTCTGTGGTACACTGTAGGTAGAAAGTACTTATCACAGCTCAATGTCTTGTCATTTGGAGATATTTAATAGCAAGATCACAAGCAGAACATCTGCCGATGAGCCTTAAACTGAGTCCTGCATCAGTTGTTGCCACAGATGAAAAAAAGCAGAATGGACATCCTAATGTGAGGAGGCACCCAGGCCAGGCATGACACAGTTGGATGTTTTTCCACTCTTGCATGGCAATGGATCATCTGTCCTCAAGTAACACCATGGACCAAATTTACTGGTGCTGGATATAGTATTGGGAGCCCCAGGATTCTAGTATTGGAATTCATTTCACACAGTGATGAACAAAAGCCTGAAGCAGTGCCTTTGATAACACGGCATCTATAATGAAAGGGAAGCAGAAGAAAGAAATAGAAAAGGTGACTTTCTGTTGCTCTCAATGATAATTGTCATAGTATTTAATTCACAGAAACATTAGTGAAAAAATCTTATATGCTAGTCACCATGCTAAGTGCTCAAATTAGAGATCCGATATATTATCTTCTCAATTGAACTGGGAAACAGCAGGCAAAGTAGACATCAGGAAGTTTATATTTCAACATCAGAAATATTATTAATTAAACATGTATAAGGTGGAACATCCTACTTGCCTGGGGGGAAAATACATAGTTTCGGTATCAGTTAAACTGAACTTGGAGCATTCTGAGAGCCCTTGTCTGAGGAGAAATGGAGTAGACATTCCAACAGTTATGTTAGAAATGCAGGTAGATATAATCATGAAAGTATATGGCATGTTATAGAAGCATAGTCTACAGTGTTACATACATTACATTCTTGACATATTTGGAAAAAGGAGAAAAAAACATTTTAACTGACTTTTGTGCATGCAGTGACTCTGCTGCGACTTCTCTTATTCTCCTGTGCAAAATCTTCAGCCTTCTGGATTAGGTTCAACAGGTAAATCTTGACACCTACACAGAAGCCCTGTTACACTGATTTTGCTTCACTTCATAGAGCAACATACGTGAATTGCCTTGATTATACAGTCAGTGCCTTTTCCCAGTCTTATAGCAAAGCATTTATGGATAGGGGTTGAACCTAGAGTTCCCGACGCTAAAGATGCTGCTACTAATACACTATGTCATTTCAAACCAGGTTCCAGAAGTTTGTGTCATGAAATACATGAACTATATATACATCACAGCAGAAAGGTTGATAGGGATTTATATGGGTAAGACAGAGGGGAGTGGCACTGTTAAGAAGAGAAAGATGTATTCTGTTTAAACAAATTTATAAATCACCAACGTTAGACCCTGAGATGTAAAATGATGTGGAAAATCTTACAGTACCAGACTTGATCTATGAACCGGTTTCACGGAATGCAAAGCTCATTGTTGGAGCTAGTGGTTACAGGAGGTGAGAGAAAACAGCTACTCAGCTTTACAAGTAAAAGGTACATTTGTTAAAAAAATAACCCAGGAATTAATAGGGAAGGCATACTTGTGACTCACAATAGAGAAGAATCTTCATTCCTCTTAAATGTCTTTCCCAAAACACTAACAATGAAGTGCTAGTGAGTGTATATATGTAAAGGGGGCAGGGATTGTTTTAGTATTACTCAATGAACCAAACCGTCAGAACTATGGTATCCAACTAATTTCAGCATCAATCCATCATGTTGAGGAATCAGAAGTCCAAGATACAGAAATGAGAAATGCCTTGGTCATTAATATATAATCATTCTATTCCCAAGTATGATGAAGCCCTGAGTGACATGAAACAAAGCAATTACATGCTTCTTTTCTTTCTAAGTGAGTGATCTTTTTAGGAATAAGTACTCATTTTCAATATTTCTATAAGTGAGCCTAGAATAAAAGTTATATTTTAGTGCTTCTATTCCAGATCTGAATTTGGCTAAACAGCCCCTCTCATGTCTTTCATGTGCAGTTTCCACAGCTCATGTTTCTTGTTTCTTAATTAGGAGATAAGGAAGCAGAGGAGGGAGAGAGAGAGAGAGACAGAGACAGAGACAGAGACAGAGACAAGAGAGAGACAGGGACAGGGAGACAGAGAGAAGTCATGTAGGACCACACAAGAGAAAACTCTTTTCTCTTTTGGGCTCGTTTGATGAACCAAGACCCCCGGAAGCAGTGGACCAGGTGTTCCAACAATGGAGACAGTTAAGATGATGGAGCTTCACAGACCCTGAAAATAAGGAATTATATAGGTTTCTGAGTTTTGTCATGATCCCCATGGTATGAACAGCGCCCCCTTCCAGCACGAAGCAGTTTGGAATGAGCAACGTCCCAATTCCCATCTTGTTTATAAACCTTTGTTTTCTTTTAAATGGGACTGTTTATAATTTATTAATGATCACAGCCAATCTCTTTTAATGGTAAAAAGGGGAATTATGGTATGGGTATTGTTTTTCATTTATTGATACAAATTCAAGGTCAATTTTGTGATGTGTATATTTCTCCTCTTGATTAAGTATTGCGCTTATACTGATATTTTACAACGTAATGCATAATTGAATACAGATTATAGATAGTTACTTATAATAGTCAGAATTTATAGTTAGGTGAGTTAGGTTTTCTAGATATACAGAAATATATTTGAGATATACAAACAGTCTTTAAACCTCTCAAAGACCTTCAGAAAATGGCATTTAAAATGGTTTAGGGTTTTTCTTGACAATGAGGAATGTCTGCTCCTGGCAGCACCAATTACATCTGAGAGGAAGATGCGCATCGAAGAAACTCTTTGTGGAGTTTGCTTTCAACATGGCAAGATTAGCCATTTGGGCAAGAAACTGCTCTTGCCTGTACTGCTTGACTGTTGTATAATCTGGACATGCAGGACCCACAGGAAAGTGACTGCTGAACTCAGTCTTACAGAGTTCCTGCTTCATGGAAGAGTCTACGAGACTTTCTGCAGGACACAGAAAAATGACTGACAGACTGCTAATGCAGATGGACAGTTTTGAAATTTCCTGCTTGGCTGAGAAGTGTTCCAGACATACTGTGTCCTATGGGCTGAAGGAACTTTGGGTGACTGTCCAGGCAGTAAGATATCTCTGTCAATCCTAGTGTTTACATATTATCCTTCTGTGGTCTTTGATGGAGTTGAAGACAGATAGTTATAATTATAGTTTTCCTTAGTTATGATAAAAGATAAGCTACATATAGGACTTTGGACTCACAAGAAAGAGATAGATGATATTTTCTTTAAATGTTGCTAAAATATTGTAACTATGTTCTTATTTGATAACTGTTCTGTTATATACAATTTGACTGTGTTAAAGTTAAGACCTTTCTTTTTGTTTAAACAGAAAAGAGGAGATATTGGGGAAGTCTTATGTCAATAAAGCATTGTTGAGCCAATAGGAATCTAGATAGGTGGGACTAGGAGTCCAGGAGGACTCTGGGAAGGAGAAACACAAGAGAGTCGACATGTAACCGCCATGGGGTAGGAAGCCTGGAACTATTCTCTGGTAAGAGAAATACTTAGATTAACAATTATGGGGTAATTACTTAAGTTAGAGCTAGCCAGTAAGAAACAAGCAAGGCCAACAGCTTCATAATGAATATAGCCTCTTGTGTGTTTATTTGGGACTGATGCGGCTCTAGAACCAGGTGGGCGGGAAGGCTCCTCTCACGGAAAAGCTTCTCTTAACACTATAGTATAATTTTTCATAAAGAAATACAAAATACAATTATCGTCCTACTACTTACATCTAGATATTATTTTTGTGGTCTTTAGTGCTTGGAGTAATAGGGACCTAGATTTCTACTCCCCTACTCTGTTACATAAAAAACCACAGCTGGACCAAGTGTTCTAGAAAGTACCCTGGTGTTGACCAAGAAACTTCCCCTAGCAGTCTTCCTCTCCTCCAGCTTACTATTATAATAGAACACTGTTGATGATGATGATGAGATAAGTGTGATTATGTGATGATGGTGGTGGTGGTGGTGATGATGACGGCGAAAACAACAAAACAATACCACCACCACATTTGTAATTACAGGTTTCAGAAGTTCACATTTATTGAATAATTTTACCCTTACAACAATTCAATGAGGTAGATAATATTTTCACTTAACATGAAGTACTGAGAATTTGAGAGCAAACATGTGCTATTGAAATGCACATTCACTATAATAATTGATATCCCAAATCATATGTCCTGACTTCAAAGTAAAATTTTATATAATATCAAGCTTGCAATGGAAATGACTGTCTTATGTTGTTCCCAAGCCCTAAGACCCACACAACACTGTACTCTAGTTGATACCAAAGAGATTATTTTTCCTTTCATTCTGGTGCTTAGAACTAGGGAAAGGTGGCTTGATTGTCCTCGTGTATTCTTCAGTTTTTTCTTAGAAGTCATTTAGTGAAATTTGTCAATAATCAAGTGACTGGATTTTATACACTCTTTCCTGTTTCAGCAGATTGATCATATGAAAATAATAACACCAATACTATTGTCTTCTTTGGCTATCCAGGTTAGTGACTCTATTTACTTTTGTAATTTTATGTGCTTTACTGTTATTCTCTCCTTATCTCATAAACAGAATACAAACATTATGAAAGTAAAGAACTAGAAAGGCTAAAAGATTTCTTTATCCTTTGAACAATGAATTGACTCCTAGCATTTGGCAATGAGTTTCAAGTTTTATACTTTAAGGAGGAAGAATATTATCTGTAATATTAGTGTTTGTTTTGCGCTTTCATTCCACACATACAAGATATTACTACTTAATTTTCATTGACTCCTCTCCAAAATTTGTAAAGGCCCTTAAGGCCATCATCCTTTATGAGATCAAGAATATCAATCATTTGGGGGAGATTTGTCTGTCTGGGGCACTCCACAGGTATGAACAATTGGCCTCAAAGACTAAGTTCACTTTTGGCTCAGAACCACTTACCCCGACATCTAAAACACAGCAATCCTGTGGCTCAGCTGTCACAATTGATAAATAATTCAGTGAGTTAAATAAACGAAAATCAGGTGTTTTAGTCTTCTATCTTGGAGGGTATGGTCTCACTCTATAACCCAGGTTGCCTGGAATTTACTCTGTAGCACAGACTGGTCTCCAACTCACAATCTTTTTTCTTTTGCCTCCTGAGTATTAAAACTGGGGGAATGATCCACTACATGGGGTTCAAAATTGTTCTACATATAGTGATGAAGTATTGAAATAACAGTCATCCAGGGAGAGAGTACAGCTCATGATCTGCTAGTAGATATTGTTTGAAAATTTCCATCTTCATATCCATGTACACCTTTCAGAAATTCATTCTCTACATTTTAGTATTTTTAAATGTTTACAGTGCTCAAGGCAAAACTCTGTGAACTATTCTTAGAAGAATTTTGAGTAATGAGTAATTTCCCCATGACACTAAGAAACAATTTTTTTCTTTGTTCAACACTACAGTTTGCTCACATGTATCAAGACTTTGAAACATTAATTTTCTTCAAACTAAGGGAAATTTTTAATTATTACCAAATAATACTGTGTGCATTAGGGAAAACACATAAAAGTTCAAATACTTAATGGCAATAGAGCCCAACCAGACAGAGAGAAAATACGAGGAGAGTAGTCACAGACTCCATGAAAGCCATGGGTACTAGACTCCACCGAGCTCATCAGTTTGAATTCCCTGTTTAACTCTTTAGATAAATGGATCAATGATGCTTTCTAATGACCATGTTACATGCTCTGTTGTGTTCTAAATGTGTTCAATTCTTCTGAGGCTCCCAGAATTTCCAAAATGCAACACCTCATTTGCAGACAGTTTGAGCATCACATTCACTAAAGCCACTAAATGGAAAGTAAGCCAACATGACCACTTTCAACTTAAAACATGCTTCTTATTAACCAGAAACTGTCACTATTGTAATGCAGTCTATTAACAACTTTCATTTAGGGAGCACTTAGTTGCCAGCTTTATTCTTTTCTGTATGAGCATTCATCTTGATAACTTGACATACTCAGGTTGGACGTGAGCATCAGAGTCTCTCGTTGTTTTATTATATGAAGTAACAGAAAGAAGATAGGAGGTCCTTCTTTGCTTCATCACCATATCTAAATATCTCATCTCATTTGTGGAAGAAGATAATGCTATGTGTTCATAAAGTTCAATGTAATTTTCCTTTCCTAGTGACAGTAGAATATATTTTGTAGACTTCTATACGAACCTATGAGGACCTTGGAGATAGTTCTAGTTAATAAAATATAAGGGAAAGGAAATAAGGGGTGTCAATTAAGCTCAATTATAGGGCAACTGCAAGCTACACATTTCACATGGCAAGGACACAAAACTTCAAGCCCCTATGCTGGATGTTTAGCATCACAAAAATAAGATGTATGATGGGAAGTTATTGAAATCTCAGTCCAGCATAGCTTATCTTACTCTAGTAGCGATGATGGCTGGAACACTCCCACCAACTTCCACAGAGCAGTGTTAAATAGTTCATAGATGATAAATGCACTCTACCAACCACTCTATTTGATTGTTTGCTTGTGCTGAGACAATTCCAAGGGCTAAACAGACCCTTTATTTTCAGCTATTGCCTGCAAACACTTTGTTAAAAGGATGATTTGTAGTCCTCCTTGGCTGGAGAAAATCAGAGCCTACAAGGGTAAAAGAGAGGTAAAAATTAACGGTTCTGAAACAATTTGTGCATCAGAATCACCTGAGAAGTTTAAGTGATGCTTTGCCCCGCCTTTGTGATACTCGTTAAGTTCCTTTTGGTAACAGCAAGAAATGTGGATTTCTGTGTGAGTAAAAATGGTTCTGATAAGAAAAATTCAAAGGATACATCTTGGAAAGGTGAGGGTACATTAAGTCTTTCTCACTTACAATATGAGCCACCCTATAGGAAATAAGGAAAGTGTTAAACAGTTTTGTAGGTAATAATTTTCAAAGTGAGACTCATGGGGTACCTACCTTATTCAAATTGCAAAGGGTACACTTGAATAAGCTGAACTCCTAGACCGTGCTCCCAACTTATGAAAGAGCCATGGTAGTAAAGGAACTGCTTTCATGTCTTCAGTGTGGAAGTGCTCCCAAAGGGACTCTCAGATACACAAAAGTTTGCAACCATTATCACATGAGTTATTTACTTTGTGCATGTTGTAATAATGAATTTGTTACTTCTAGATTGGCATCTTAGTTTAACCAACCACTTCAAAATCACCTATCTGGAAGCAAATATACAATCACTGGAGGTATTAGTAGTTGTAAGAAGAGGTCACTCTGGAACTCATAACATGTGTATCACAGTTTCAAAAACTTAAATTCTCTTTTTAATGTACACAGGGAATACACTTCTATATTTGCCTTGGGGAAATTTAAAATATGATTTTAAAGTCCAGAGGACACAATTCTAGTTTTTTAAAGTTAATATATACAAAAATAAAGTTACATAAAATCATAATACAGCAAGTTTAGATGATCCATTAGATACTTGATATAATACACCCCTGTGTAGAGCTTTCTTGTAACAACCAATCTTGGTTGTTGACTTGAATACATCCAGCATCAACTAAAACCCAAGCAGCTGGTCACACCAGTGAGGGATTGTCTTGGTTAGATCATGTGTGATGTGCAAAGACTCATACTAAATCTGGGCCACACTTTCTGGTGGAAGTCAACATAAAAGTACATTAAAGAAGGAAGCATTTGCTTTTTGCCTGTTTGCCTTCACTCTCACTGGCAAGCCCATCTATACTGTTGCTGACAATTTTCCCACCCCATTACATTGGTAGTAGAACCCATTTCTACAAAATTCCAATGTAGTCTAAAGACCAGCAGCTCTTTAAAAATGTATGACTCTAGCACCAGATTGGGATTGCTGAGATATCCAGTCTTGTGGACTGAGTAATTACCAAATTATTGGCCTTTCCACTGGGAGACAGCCATTACTGAACTACCTGGACCATGGCCTATAATTCACTCTAATAGAACTCTCCCTCGTACAAACACACTCCATTCTGTTTTTTTTTTTGTTCCTATAGAGAACGCTAATGTACCTGCTTTATATATTTTGCTATACATGGTTGAGATAAATTAGTTCCCCTTAGAATTCTTGGAATACAAATTCTTTCACATGCATGTACCAGGGTTGATTTGAGAGCTGACACTGAAAATTGTGTTAGAAGTCCAGGTTAGAGGCCAAAGTCTATCACTATCTGTCCCATTGGGACAGCAACTCATTAAGGATATAGTTTCTTGTTCTGTGGTGAATTAGGACATTTTAAAAAATAAGTGTTTCATATGCATGAAGCTTGTAGCATGCCACTTAATGCTCAGAACAACCAGGGAGATCAAAATTATTACTTCCATTTTGGCTAGCAGGACACCAAGGCTCAGAGAGATCATAGTCCATGAGGAAACAGAGAAGTAAGACTGGGCTTGAGTTTAAATTCATGATCCTAACTAGAAAAATATTTCTTACATAATGGCATTTCTACTTAACCAACAATTATGCCATTTCAATGATAGAAATTAATGACCCATAAGTAAGATTACTCGTTATTTGCATCATTGAAATACATGACACTGACTATCACTTTATTGTAGCATGAGAGGGCAAAGAATAATGTTAATATTTGAGTCTTTCTTCATATGTTGAAACTCTAGGTCATTATCTTTCAGATTCTTAGATAGCCAAATGCCCCAAAATATGACTTTATGTTGCTAACCCCCTGTACTTACATCTTCAAAGAAAATCACTATCAAAAATTAGCTTTGAGAATACTCAAATTACTCTGTTGTTTAAAAGAACTAGTATTTTCATATCCATACCACTGTGCCTTTAGTTCTTTATTTTAATTTTCCTCTTAAGAAGATGATTCTAAGGACTTTGCCTGCAGGATTTAGAGAAATCAGTCTTACGCCAGGAAACTTTCTCTCTACAGACTAGATCTCATAGGGTCAGAAGGTGCTATTGCAGGCTACTGGAGATAAAAGATATTAATTGTTTTACTCAGCACTAATCCATACATGATACAATACCAACCTCCCAGGCAAGATATAACCACTAGTGTAATAATGACATGATATTTATGGGGTAACCAACTACTTTCTGATTGGATTTGACGACTGCTACATGTCTGGTATTGAATACATTTCTGGTATTAAAATCTGGTCAAATTCCATGGTTGGGGAGATACATAGGTCTTAGATATGTTATGTTGTTAAATGGTCACATTGTCAAACAAATTGCCTTCAAAATATTTATATTTATAACCACATACCTCTGCTAGTCAGAAAAACTTTTTGCAGTAGGATGGAGTAAATGCAGATACTCATAACTAGTCAACATAATAACAAACAATTGTGAGTAATCAATCTTAAATAGGGTTACTTTATTAGTCACCTTGTCAAGGCTTAAGGAATACTGTTAACGAGGAGGCAGAAAAAAATTCTAAGAGCTGTAGAATAGGAAGGATTGGGTGAAGTACTTTCTTCTAGATGTGACATGTTTTGCACTCACAAACTCAGAGCAGCTGTGGTTACCTGCAGAAGCCAACCACATTCTACCATGAATGGCAGAGGAGCTGTTGAGCAACCAGGGTTTAGGAAGAGTCATCCTTCTCTGGAGCAGTAGCACTGGTAATAGCCTGTGTTTCAGTTGGTGGTCCTATATCCATATACACACTGGTAGCTGGGATTGGTGTGCAATTATTTTTAAGGCTTAAATTTGGTAGGGGGACTTGCTGTCAGGATCAAGAGAGAATTCCTAAAGGGAAATGGAGGTTAGAGGTGGATATATCAACTTTCCTTGTATACATGCATGCACTTTTCTTTGTATCTTTAATACTTATTTACTTTGATTTTGTGTACTAACTCAATGTATGTGCACCACATGTGTATAGTTGTCCTCAGAAGTCAAGAGTCATTGGATTCTCTAGAATTTGGGCTACAGACAGTTATGAGTCACCATTTAGGTGCTGCGAACCAAGCCTGGGTTCCTCTGTAAGAGCTCTCAATCACTGATACATCTCTAGCTTCATGTGTAAAATTCTCAAAGGGTACATTTAAAAGGATTTAAGTTATTGTGCATAGGTGACAAAAGTAATTTATAAAAATTTCCAAAGATATTTTAAAGTTTGTATGTTAATAAGAAACAAGACTAATTTGGATAACAGCCTTTTCTCTCCTCATAGAATTTGAAGTCATGTGTATTACCCATTTTCTGGCCCCTAAGCTGAGGCCTTTGAACATCTCTGCAGGAAATGATGTAACATGAAATGAGATCTTTGGTTGTGCTGAGTCATTTCTGTTGAGTTGCACATCTAGGAAGACATTCCATAGTGAGTAGTGTATTAGACAGGGCGTGTTCTTTGTGTTTTATCTCTCTGCCACCCCCTTTGCATTTGACTGAGAGGCTACTTCTGGACCAAGCTCACTAGCAGCAAGGGGCTGCTATACTGAAGGTGACTGTTGACATTGAATGTTGTCTGCTAGTGTTTTTTATTTACTTCTGTTTAAGCTGCAAGAACATACACTGATTCTCAGCTGTGTCCTGAGCTGGAGGATTCATCAGATAAACCCTATTATAAAGGCCAGATGTTTTCAGCATGGAGAGGGAGTACACATTTCCCATATGTTCTCATAGCCAACCTACTTTATTCAAGGTTAGTGTTGCCCATGGCACTTGTGTCCCTGTTTCAGCATACATTCTTTGACTGAAGACTTTTGCTCTGAAATTACATACATTTGTATGAATATATCTCACAAATGAAGGGTTTTTTGTTGTTCTTTAATTGTTTGGTTGGTTTTTATTTTGTCTTGTTTTACTCTGTGACTTTATTTTTTACACATTTAAATCAGGACATAATTGAAAGTACACATTCAAATATTAATGTTTTATACCTCATACAAGAAACTGAACAATTTGTCAAGCAGAGTCTAATTCAGTAGCAACAACTAAACAGAGCTGAGTGAACACCGTAACTTCAAGGGATCTTGATAGGACCCCAACTTTATAGTAATGTGCCATGTACCTTTTGCTGTCATGTAAATGTGTGCAGAAAGACACATTGTGAACCTGCACTCTATCCTCTGATGAAGTGCCTGGAAGTTAAACTTACATCTATCCCCTTCCTTCCACTTCTGCTACCTTTGACCCTCGGAGGAATGTGAACTTAGAAACCCCTTTCAGAATCATGAATAAAGGATGGAGGCAGCAAACTCTACCTACAGTTCCATTCTGATACTAAATATTTCTGCTGTGATTTGAACAAAGCAAGATCCTCACATAAGCCCCACTTGGTGTCTCTGGTACTTTCATAAACTTCCGATACACATCAGGAAAATAAACAAAACAAAGCAAAATGACCCCCTTAGCTTTCCTACCTAATCTAAATCTCAATTTACTGAATCAGAATATTCTTTAGATTTGAATATAAAAGCCAGAAAAGTCAAAATAAGGAGAGGGCATTAAAAATCTGCTAGCACAAAAGACATGACATAAAAATATACCTTTATTGATAGTGACAGCATTAGGAAGTTGAGAGTACACTATTTACAGGGAGGCAATAGGAAGCTTGGATTCCTCTCAGAAGGTTTGATCGGGGAGGGGAGCAAAATGTGCTGTATGTTTGCTACTGAATGTTCTCCTACAGTGTCCACAAAAACCTGCTCTTTTTCAAGTCACTGCCTTGGGTACACACATTCATTTTGAGTGTCAAAGCCCTGCTCCCTTGGGTACACACTCATTGTGAGTGTCAAAGCCCTGTTCCCTTGGGTAGACACACCATGTGAATGTCAAAGCCCTGTTCCCTGGGGTACCCAGTATCAAAGCCCAAGCACACTTAGATGACCCATAGCGTAAGGAAACACCAGATCTCAGCTGCTTTTGAACCATGGGGCAAGATCAGACGCTAGGCAACTTTTCCATACTGACCTTCTAGGGCCCGAGAAGAGTGTGCTCTTCCGAGGCCGTTAGAGGCAATAACTGCATTCAGGTGCTTCCGGTCTTTTGTCTCCTAAAAATAAATAGTTTTTAGAAATCAATAAAAGGGATATAAATCTGATAGTCTATTAGATGATAAATGTCAATTATTCCCCAAGGTTTGTGACCCAGAGAGTTAGTAGAAATAACAGCCTCCACCCTCCACATAAAGTGATTATAGGATATAAAAGTCATTGTTATTGGATAAATCTGTAAAATGGTGCAGTGCAAGAGTTGAGATCTGGGGAGAGGGCTCGGGTCTGGTGCTGTTTTGTAGCCACTGACTTTCGGACTCTTGGAAAGCAGGCTTACAGAGGTGTGTTTCCCACTGGGGTTGGGTATGCATCTCTGCCCGGCTCTTGCTCCTGAGGTGACTTTCTCCTTCACAGTAGGTGACACAGCAGCGACAGGCGGCTGAGGGCTTCCCTCTGTGCTTGGACATGATGCCAGGGGCTGGCGGTGCTCCAGACACCCGCTCTAAGCTCCGGAGTTCTGGGGGCTCTTTCAAACGACTTCTCCTCTGAACATGATCCAGACTGGTGTCAGACTGAGAAGAGCAGCTCTCATTCCAGCCCGAGCTGGCGCTCAGACTTCTCAGGGGCAGAGCCAAGCGCAAGGCCTTCCAGAACTTGGAGCCAGAATGTTTGGACTTCTCTCCCTTCCAGCTCACAAAAGACACAGACTCCTTCAGCTGCAGGATGCCTGGGTGGGGATGCTCCAGGGGACGGTACTCCACCACAATGAGCTTGGTGGCAATGGAGTTCTGGCACATGACGCCCAGCTTAAACTCCAGCATGCTGATGCTCTTTTCTGTCACATAGTCAGGGCTCAGGACAACGATCATTCTTCGGCTCCGCTGAATGAAATCAAACACTGCTTCCACTGTATCTATAGGGAAATGGAAAGATAGCATAGCATCTGGTAATGAAAACATACCTAGTAGGTCACTGTCTAGTCCGCAAAAGACCGGCATGAACAAACTTTTGAGAAAATAGAATATCAGTGCTAAATCACGCGAACTTATCCACACCATTTTTACCGACAGTTGGGAAGAATTTGTACCTTGTAAGAAAGAGGAGTCGCTTGAACTTAATCTCTCTCCCTACACAACACCCCCTTCCACTGCAGATGTTCTCCTCATGAAAATGCCTTCCCCCACTATAAAAATAGAGGGAATGTGAATTAGATAAACTATTCCTGAAAGCAACTAACTCTCTGCTTACAAATCATTTCTCGTTTTAGAATTTCATTTCCTTAAATTTCATTTAGTGGACTTATATCAGATGTCTTCAAACTTTTGACATATGTAGGCACTACTGTGATGTTACTGCATTTTCTTACCTCCGAATTAATTGACTTCAGGTATTTATTCTTATTCTACACCATTCATAATTTCAAGAACCCCCACCCCTTATCATATTCCTGTGACTAATAATTCAACTTGTATATATGCCTTCCAGAATAATATCTTGAATAACAATGAGCATACTTATTTCTCCAGAAAGTCTGATTGGCAAATTACCAAATCACCACCTCCCTAGATCCTGAGTTGTCCCCAGTCCCAGGTACTTAACATTTTGGGCACATTATTGGTCTCCATGAACAAAGATGTCCTTGTTTCATGTTCCCTCCTTCCTGCCTTCCTTTCTTTGTTGATTCAATTTTCTTTTGCTTTTTCTTTCTCGCTGTGTATGTATGTGTGTGTGAAGAAGTGGCCTAAAGTCAATTAAAGAGCTGAGTGCCACCATAGTAGTTAAGAATCAATCAATTAATTAAGACTTCTTGCAGAGTACTCGATTCTAATGTTTGCTGAGGGGATATGGATGGGACCCAAAAGAAGATTCTTCAAATTAGAGCAGTATTTAACCCACTGTGAAATGCAGGGACTTAGACAATATGATCAAAGAAAAGAAATCCCACCCTCCCACCCGTGTGACTCCTACCTCCAACAACTTTGAAAACATAAGGGAGCCAGTACTGAGGCTGCATTTGCTGTTTTCAGCCTATGGGGACACTGAAAATTGGCAGTGAGTTTGATCACCATAAACTTGAAAGGAATGTAGAAGCCAGGATCCTTTCCTGATCCATTCTTTCTAATAGTGGGATTTCACTTGAATTTAAGTAAAAATTAGAATAAGTGGGTTTTGTTCTGATATTAAAAGATTTATATTTTCAGTTCTTAAAACCACATGTGTGCATGCAGATGTGCATATGTGCATGTGTATATTTCAGTAATTCCCTTGTCCCATTCTCCCCTACTCAGATTTTATGAACTGCTTTTAATATATTAGAGAAGACACCTGTGAGGATTCTGCTGCTTTACCTGAATCATGAGAAGTAGAAAATAACCATAGGACAATGTGGCTGGATTTCCAAGACAGGAGACATATACAATCAAATCCTACAAGCATATATGTATGCATATCAAAATGATTATTTTAGGAAAATGTGTGTTGCTTTCAATGGGCTATTCATGGTTGGAAATAAAACCCATCTTAAACATTGCCTTGTGCCTGTGGAAGAAAAAAATTTTACCTTTCAAGAAAGTGTGTGGTTTCCATTTGAAAGAGGACAGAGTAGACACAGACCTGAGTGGTGGAAACAGCCATTGACAAAGGACTGGAGCTGTCCCAAGATGGAGCTTCTCCTGTGCTTGGTTATTGGCTTTGTATTTTAGAAGCAAGCAGCTTCCTGTTATGCCATTTAAAACATCTCCCAGATTTCAAAACTTCATATTTGAAGATGAGGGTGATCATTTACAATGCTAGAGTTTGTATGGAGACGCAATGAATCTGGTGATTATATAGCAATGGATTCATATTCTTTGAATCATTATGTTGATTTTTAAGTTATGGTTCTGATCCAGAACTCTAATAATCCTTAAGGGAAAGCATGCCTTAAAAAGTTGTAATGGCCATGAAAATCATACTCATCTACAAAAAAATTATGGCTCTGACATTTTCCCTTTGCTAGGATTTTTGTAGAAGAACCTACCCTCTCACAATATGTATTTTTTCTCTTAAAAAAAGAGCAACATTGGAGAGCCATCTGAATTCAGATATTCATTTTTCCTTGATCTCATTTTTTAAATCTTAATACCTTTGCATCTGAGTGTATGCTTCCTCTACAAAACACATGTGATAAAAGCAAAGTTGTAGGGCCATAACACAATCTAGCAATGGGCTAAGAGAGTGTGTTAGTAGGAATTGTACATCTCTGCAGCTGTTATAACCTCGATGCATGGAAAATTGAAACCCTATTACCATCATAAATTTACTAATTTCATATTCTAAAGCTGGTATTAAGAACTGATAAAAATTCAATAAACATATCAGATAATTTTATAATTTGCCTGAGACACAAAAATCACAGCCAGTAAGATGAGTCAGCAGATGAAGGTGCCTGTCAATCTGAGTTTGTTCCCTGGGCAGAATATGAGAACTGACTAGCATCCCCTCCACAGGGATAGAAAATAAATACATAACAATTGAATCTTTAAAATCCTTATAAAGAAACACTAGATTAGTTGCTGAACATGTTTTTCATTCCATGCCGCACACTTTGCTAGCATAAAAGATCTCATTAGGGATGTACACAACTGGATGGAGAAATTGTCTAGGGAACTTTAATTAGGGAAGTGGTAGCCAGATTGATGACACCAATGCAAAGAATGCCAATACTAAGTAGTCTTCTAAATGGTTTACCGTTGAAGAGTGAAGTAACTTAAGACTAGTTATCACATATCCAATGTAAAACATCCATAAACAAAATGTAATACAATGTATATTTCCTGTAATGGGGGATTCTATATGTGCACAGTAGAAAATTTTGTTGTCATTCAACCCTGCCTGGCAGTTGTTTATTAATTAACTGAAGAGAAACCTGTGTCCTCAAGACTTTGGTCCGTGCACCCTGGCTCCATACTTTTGTGACTGGTAAGAGTTGCCTGTATGTTAGTAGCATTTGAAGCCAAAACCAGAGAAATGGCTGTGGTTTTGTTTTAAAATGATAACTAAGTGTGACTTCTGCCTCCTGTCCCCCCAAATCCCCGTCCTAATGTCCATTTTACTTAAGCAACTCTTTTGCTCATATGAAGGAAACATTCTTGAGATGAAGTTCACTTTTTTCTCAGACTTTTTTTATTCCTCAATAGATACTTAACTATTACAACTTCATTCATTTCTTTTTGTAAGCATACTCACTCTTTTTACTCTTATTTCTCAAGCCCGAACAAGACCATAAGGACACAAAACACATGTACCAAATAAAATTCAAAGGTGAAAATAAATGTTTTATTGTAAAAAATATGTAAATATACAAATCAAATGAAAATGAAAAATACAAATGTTTATGAATAAAATTAAAAAGACGGTCTTAAAGTACTAAAACCTACAGAAACAGATGAATAAGTAACAAGTGGAGTGATGTTTTGTTTCTCAGTATAAGACAGTACTTTTTATTAGAATCTCAGGGACTCATCTAAGGTACAAAAGAGAATTAAATAAACTACATGTGACTGTGTAAGTAGACACTCTATATGCATGGTTCTTGGTTAACCTGGGTGCAGAAGTTCTCTTTATCATAAATCTAAGACTATGAAGGATTTTTTAATAAGATCCATGATGTATTTTATTGTCCTCTGAAATACAAGTATGTGACTCCCCTCCTCCCTCTTCTGTTTTGTAAGGAGCATCTTCTGAAATGCAGACAAGAATCTTGGAGTTAAGTTCACTTAGAATTGGATATGTTATTTAGATTATGCTTTATATTACAGCACTGGAGTAGGCTCAGTATAATAAAGAGGGATATAAATAGGAAACTACGGAGGCGTTTCTGGGGGCATAGAATAGCAGTTGGGATGAATGCAGAGTCCAACAGTGCAAACACTACACAGTGCAGAGAATGGCCTGTGGTGAGGAGCTTGACCCCTGCTGGCCTACAGCTCATTCTGGAAGTAACACACAAAGCTTATCTGGAGTCAGCTTTTGTCTGGTACTGTGATTAAAGGGTTATTAGTGGAAATGCTAATTATTTGAAATAATGAAAAGCATTAACCTTTCTAAAACATTAGATGCAAGAATGACTACATATTATAGTGGTATGTCAAGGAATCAATAATTCTACCACAGCGCAATGATTTATTATGGACATCAGTACTGATGAACACTTTAAGAGATAATTTTGAAATTGCTTATTAACATTGACACAACTAGCATAAAGTGTTCCTTAAATTATGAGTGATGTTTTTCGTAGGATACTCAGACTCATTTATAGCTGTATCTGTTTTTCCTCGTCACTCAACAGACCACACAGCTCAGCACTGAGATTAACATAACTTAGGCCTAAATGTGTCTGCAGGAAATATAGTAGAAAACCAACTGATATCAGGTGACTGTCTGCTGTTGAGCAGTGACCATGAGAGATCAATAGACAGGTGATACCCCTGCAACCCAAATCAACTGTAGAAACAGCAAGTCATTCATACTAATCCAGGGGAGGAAAGAACTATGATAACTATACACAGAGAACCAAGAATTCACAAGTAGAACAGTAATGGAATGAAAACACCAACACAAAACCATTACACTATAAACATAATTTTAAAACTGGACAAGGATTCTACTGGCTTTTAGTACTGTACCGATGGGTATTTAAAGGTGTATGTGTGTGATTATGTATAGCCAAAAATTCATACACACAGATAATTTATAGGCAAGTGGATATATACACACATACACATAATTTGTGGGAATTCTATATACATATACACATAAAATTCACATGTACAGAGATCATATATGTGTATATGTATACATATATGTATACACACATGTTAGACGTGATGTAGAAACTGGCCACTCCAAAGGTAAATGCTGTACTTAGTTTTCACTTCTACCAGTCTTAGGAAAAGTAAAATTCTGCCTAAAACTAATAAAAACTAGTTTCATCAACAGTGGCTTTCAAAGTGATTCATTTGGAACAAGGTACTACATGTACTCATAAATACATTATTGGAAGTGGTCATTCTTTTAATGCCAAAAGGAAAATCACTACCCCTGGACTCCACTTCATAATGAAGACATGAGAATGACTGAGAATTAACCACTTTCCTGGTTTTTCACATTAGTAAGGTTGGAATTAAAGGACAAATTGCAAGCATCCTGTTAGGTGCTCTCTTCCTGTGTCAAAAACGCCCTGAGAGTATTTTGATGTTTTTCTCACTTTCCATTAGCACCATTAAAAGCTCGGTGCCGCCTGTGAAGTGTTGATGATGGATACAATAGTTAGGGAGATACAGTGACGAGTATGGAGCTATCTGTGCACCGTTGAGAAGTTACTATGGTAAAACAAAAGCCATGACTCTTTCAAGTTTATAAATATGACACCCATTACCTGAGATGAGGACAAATGTGGTTTAGTAGCAGGAAAGCAGTATACCACTTAGTCAGTCATGAGGAACAGCTGTAGCTGACTGTTCATCTTGCTGAGGTGGTGGATCCCATAGACCAATAAGCAAAGGAGTGAATTATCCCCAGTTGAAATAGATGTAATGCCTGATTATATGTCTAATGGATGACTGAAAACAAAATGAAATGGAAATTCTGCTGAGGAGCAGGTAATACTTCTGTCAGCAGGTAACCTACCTTTAAAGGAGTTTCAAGTCACTAGGCAAAGTGGCTCCATAGTGGTGAAATTTTTACAAAGAGATTAAAATAGAGGAAGGAGTGGAAATAGAGGATGTATCAGATACATCTCTACTTGCAAAGATCACAATGTCTTTAGAACTGCTGGCAGAGTGCAGAGAACATCACTCTAACCCTTAGGATTGCCAGAGAGGCAGAACTGCCAGCCACACAGTCCCTAGTGTGAGGGCTTAGACAGGACTTGTTTTCTACCTATGAAGCCACAGCCTGGGAGGGAAGAAGGGGGCTCTTCCTTCCATGAGCCCATGTGTTCGTTTTACCCCTTCATTTCCTTTTCATACATTTTTCAGGGATGAATAGGATAGGCCCTGCTTGTCACTGCTAGACCACCGGGGGCTCTTCTTCACGGGCATGGCCACCTGCAGCTGCTTCCAGAACCTGCCCTGTGGATACTTGGATTTCTCCCCTTTCCATTTAATGACCGTGAGCACCGTCTTAGCCCTCTTCAACTCTTTCACCTTCATGTCCTTCACAGCTTTGTACTGTACTAAAATGACGTTGATGCTGCCCCGGGAGGCCATATTTTCTAGGCCCGCCTTGAGCTCCAGGAGGGCCTGTGTTCCCTGGAGCACGTAGTTGGGGCTTAGGACAACCAGGAGGCGTCTGCTTTTCTGAATGAAGCTCAAGGTCTCATCTGTGACAACTGGGAAAGAAAACACCACGGGGATTAGTGTTGGCCAGATGCACAGAGCTCAAAGAGCAAAGGCAGGAAGGGAACTGGGAACAGCGGCCTGAGAATCAAGACTGTACCACACTCAGCAGCAACAGTCTGAGCAACTTCATCTTTAATCCAAACACACTGACTGCTGAGTGTCACTCTGCTCGGGGAAAACGGAGTTATATATAAATGTCCCACACCCAAAACATCTCCAAATAAGCCAAAGCCAAACTACGGAGCAGTGTAGTCACCCAGTCATCAAAAGCACTCTTTGAACAAGATGGGATAGATACATTGCAGTGACATCAGTGTTCTCAAATAGTGTTGAGGCCCAGCTAAACTGACTCCTGAAAGGTACCCAAGAACAATCCATCACATGAGAAGTATTAAAAGGCATGTACTAGACATTCAAAGCCCCCAAGTTTCAGTTGCAGTTAACCAAGGACAGGCACAGAGAATGTGGAGTCTCTGTCTGCTGATGCGTGTTGTGGAACAGAATAATTGTTTAATTATGTAAGATGTGTTGTATTTGTTCTTGCTGCATTTGTTTAGCTCTGTAAAGATGTGTTGCTTTTGTTTATGCTGAATTTGTAAAGATTTTTTACTGTTTCACCTTGCCTGCCTAAGGCACCTGACTAGTCTAATAAAAAGCTGATTGGCCAACAGGCAGAGAAGGGATAGGCGGGGCTGGTGAGCAGAAAGAAAAGTGGAGCCAGCCAGACAAGGAGGAAGCAGAAAAGCAGGATGGACAGTAATTAGATGAGGTAAATACGCCTCGGGGCAGCACATAAATGAATAGAAATTGGTTAATTTAAGTTAAAGAAACAAAACAAACCACTAGCTAGAAACAAGCCTAATCTAAGGCCAAGCATTCATAATAAACAAGTTTCTCTGTCATGATTTGGGGGCTACAGATGTGTACTTTCCTGATGCCAGCTGATGTCACAATGTTGCTGGATTAGTAATTCACGCAAATGGCATTTTGGCCAGCAACATATTCCCACATCAGCTCCTTCCTTTTCTCTAGTGTGGAGAAGAAAGCGGCAGGAACATGGATCCTTAACCTCCTCAGCCTCCAGGCACTGGGAAGCCCTTCTTCAGCAACTGCTAGCTGACTTATTTCCATTCACTAACGTGCAAATGCTTTCTTTGGAGTTGAAAAAAAAATAGTGGGGAAGATGGAAAAGCAGCCTAATTTTATTCAAGAGCTCTGATTAATTCCTGCTGCTAAATTCTTGGGACTAATCTATCTCCTCACAGATGCTCAAGGAGACCCATATAATCCTTCACCTGGAGGAGCGATGCTCGAAGCTCACTAGCTTCAGGCAGTGCACTGGTGGTGTGGAAACCTGTATCACATCCCCCTGTGCAGTCATTTCCATTCTTAATCTTCACAGGTGCAGAAGTAATAGGGAAGGATTTGCCAATTAAAATCTAACATGTGCAGCCTGGGGGAGGATCCAGGAATGGGTATGTGTTTACTCTAAGCACTGCCACTGGAGGCTGACCATGTGTAAGCATAGAAAGAGGTCTAGGAGCAAAGTGGCCTCATGAAGAGCGGTGGGAGGAACGCAAAGAGAACCCTGCGAGCAATTTGCAAGGAAAACTATGCATTCTTCAAAGGTCTGTCTGCCCCCTGTGGAAGGTCTTACCCAGATGTATACTGTGCATGTTTTCATCACTTTCCACTTAGTAGATATGGTATTTTTATTGGCTTTGTGAATGAATGCATGCATGAGTTGGGCATTTAAGCATTAATATGAGTAGGATTTTGCCTTTAACAAAGTGATCATTTCATGACACAATGACACTGAAGGAGAGATCTTCTGTAGAAAACCACAGGTTTGGGGAGATGCTTGGGCAGACACGATAACCAATCTACTAACTCAAAATGAGAAGAAAACTGTTGCAGGTACCAATTACCCACACATTTCAAAAACATATAAAACAAAGAGTTATTGTGAACAGATTTCTAAAACAGGGAAAAGAGCTTGTTATGCTCCAGATGGGAGGCACTGCACTCATTCAGACAGGAGGTTATAGGAGACTGAAAAGTGTTGTGGATGTGCTTGCTACAAAACTCCCAAATGAACCACGACTTTGCCTGTTACTGTTTGAACTTGAAAAGAGGAAGCGTTGCTTTTTAAATATTCAATAGTTGAAGCTTTTCCTTGTAAAACTTGCTAGAATGCAATGGCCTTACACAGTTTAAGCTCAAACTCAAACATACACACTGATGGAAAAGGAGATACAAACAATGAAAAGGCAGATTTGACTGGCAGTATTTGCTGGCTCAGAAGTGAGGATACAAGGAGAAAGTGGCAAAGGGTGAGTTGTATTAACGGGGAAATGCTGTATGCTCTTTGTCCTGCCACTCTGTTCCAGTTAAATGGAGTGAATGTCAGTCTTTGTAAAGAAACATTCATTTTCTATACTTGGTCTTTGTAAAAGAGAATAAAGGAAAACTAATGCACGTCAGCATAGTGCTTCTTGAAAATGTGCCTTCTTCAGGGCTGGCTCTTTTCTGACATGGAGTTCTTAAAGATTGCAAGGGAAAAAAATCTAAAGCCATGAACTAGGCTGAACAGTGTCCGTCTTATAACATGGCTGGATCTCTGGAGAAGTCTCTGTTATTAAAGGCATTGTTTGTTCCATATTTGAACACCCTTCCTGTGCTACATCCCATTCATGCACTGATCCCAAGACCCTCTTTACCCTTCAGAGTGGCACCCTCGGTGCTCATGTGAGATACCTACTTCCCCCAGGCAGGCTATCTCTGTCAAAGATGCACAGCTTGTATCCAAATTCATTCTCCAAAACACCTCGGAGCGTCAGCAACACAAACTCCTCTTCTTCAGCATTTCTTGCGTAGGACACATAAATATCATATTCCTTTCCATCTACCAAAAGGAACACAGGGCCAAAGGAAATAAGAATAACTTCTCAAGTAGTGTTTCCTTTTCGTAAATCTAACTTCTGGATGTTGGACTTTTTTTCCATTTGTGAACTATTTGGGTCCATTTGTGACAGATGTCAGTATAATTTTCTGGTTGAGATGGTATTCAGGAAGAATGAAAATGGGGATTCAGATTGCAACGTGTTGTGTGTCCTAGTCTCATTTCAGGGAGCTGCCCCTGTAGTGGACAAAGACTGTCCCATGAACTACAAGAGCAGGGGTGCACACCAGAGGTGCTGGGAGCTAATGCCAGAGGGGAAATTTCTACTCAGTGTTCTAGAAAACTGTTTGTTAATATATTAGAATTCTGAATTGAGAAAGACTTTTTGAGACTGGCTAAATTATACCAGAAAAAGGACTAAAATTGAGTTATGTTAAGATCAATATATTGATCTTTCCTAAATTTGCTTAATAAAATTCATGAGTCATTAGAAATATAGATTACGTGTTTTTCCCAAGGCCTGCTGAATTAGAATCTCGTGGGGTGGGCTGTTTCTTCTTTTCCTGTATAGTACAGATTCAAATGTCTCATTCATACTGCCAAGAAAATTTCTGACAGGAATAACCATTGGAAAGATTTTCAATAGCGACAACAAGGTAAACAACACACTCTAATGTACACTTGGGCCACCTGGCAGTATTACTAAAGTGTGGGCTCTGGTTCAGGGGGAGTCATGTTTTAGGTTTTCCCTGTGAAATGCTTTTGGATGATCATTATGCTGCTGGTCCAAGGGTCTTCTCTTGTAGCATGTGAACCTACAGCTGGATGTGGCAGCACATGCCAGAAAACCCAACACTCAGGATTGAGGTCAGTCTATACAATGAGACACTGTGTAAAAACACAAAGGACAAAACAAAGCAAAACAAAAGGGTGTGAACCTGCACTGTCCTAGCCAGTAACCAAGAATCACATGTGTCTGTTGACCATCTGAATGCAGCTGTCTCTACTGAGATGTGCCATGACTGCAAAGTAGCATTGTGCATTTAAAGGCTGCAAAACATCTCACTAAGTTTTTAATGTCATTTTTATGCTGAAGTAACAATGTATGAGTATTGGGTCAAATCCTTATTTTCAATTAGGCCCTTTGAAACATTGAGCAGGGGATGTTGACTTCATGCGTAATGTACAGCACAATTTTTATATGGAAAATACTAATCTAGATTAAATCACATCTCCATCAAGAAAGGTGAACAGTGCATACTGGGAAGATTTCTACTAGTAACATAATAAGTAAGAGATAATTTTCTTAAATGCAGTGGTTCATCTGCTAAGGAAACACATTGTCTAAAGATGAAGGTACAAGAGATTTGCATCATACTGCCATTACTTACCAAGGATTGTTTCATCTGTTCCAAAATGAGCCCGGTAAAAGAGGACCATCTCCAGCCAGTAAACGTGGTAGACCACAATCAGAACCACCACCAGAAAGACTGTGGCTCCAAAACCGCAGGCGAGTTCCACTGTGTACCTTGGCGGTATTACTAAAGCAAATGACAAAAGAATGATGATGATTATGATTATTAACTTCTACTTAGTGATCATAGTGACCCACCATCATCTTCATGGCTGGATCAGCCAAGCAGCTAAGTCAGGCACTTGGCTTGCAAATGTTAACAAGCAGAAACAACGTGATAACAGATTAGGCATTTAAAAAACACTAGATTGCATCCTATTTATTTATTATGCCTTGCTGTTGTTGTTTATAGTTCCTGTCACAGGAAGTGCTTTACATTATTCAGTGATTTAAACAGATCTTAAACTATATAAAATAAAGTAGTATCTTAACATTGAGAAGGATTTCCAGGAGGGTTATCACATTTAACTCAACACAGGGCCTTGTACATGCTAGGCAAGCTCTGCCAGTGAACTATATCCCTAGCCATGCATAAACTGAGAAGGTCATGCTATATGGCTCAAACCCACTAACTTCCTGCCTCTACCTCCTGTGTCCTGAGACTGCAGCAAGGTGCCACAATTGCAGGTCAATGATAGCTTTGACAGTAGTGTATCCAGGAACTCATCATTTCTTGCAGTGTTCCCCAAAGAGTCCTCTCTGAAGAGAGGCCCATAATCAGAGGAGGTATCTTGAGCAAAATTTACTGGGTCTATTAATGTTGATGTCCTCATTCTAACACCAGCATCAGAGAAATTTAATTCATTTCCCATATTTAAAAGAGGCTTCAAACTAGTATTTTCATTGGGTTTCGACTAATCTACAGAATAGTGACTGGTATCTGTTTTCAGTATTTTTCAAGTTCACAGTTCTGTGGCAAATACTTCAGAAACTGACTTGAACTACTGGAGATTAGACTGTTTCCTTGTTATCTAATTACTTTTTTTTTACAGTGTGGATATCATAGGCATGCTTTATGGAAGTACCAGAAATAGAGTTTGACAATTCCCAATTTATTAAAAACTAGGTATTAATTCAGAAGTCCTGTCTACACTGCCTTCTATTCTAATCAAGTCTCTGGTCACTTTCCCATCTCATTTACACCGTCTTTGTTTCAAAGGTATCAGGAAAAGCAACTATCATATTGTGATCATAGTATGACTTCTGGCCTGAGTATGTCTTTCATTTCTTTAATTTCCCAGTTCATTTGCATATGTCTTTATTTTGTATAGTCTTTCACCAATAAAGCTGTCTTTTTCACTCCTTCCCACTCACTGCTAAATAAACTAGGCCTCCACACCCTTCCTGGTGGAAACCTTTCTGTCCATCCTGTCCCTGGGGCACTTGGGATCTCAACAAACTTTCCCAGAAGCAGCACTTTCCTCTTTCAGGATAATAAAAGAAGCCGAAAGCTACACTCAATGGTAGAAAAATCATTTGCTTGCTATATTGGCCGTGGCACTGCAACTGAAGACTTGGAGGAAGAAACAGAGTAATTTGCTGGAAATGAAGCAGGGGTGAGTATTGGCTGGCTTGATAATGCCTTTGTTGGCATGTATGTGCAGGATGCTTGGGGGATAGAAAGGGAAGATGACAGAAAGGCTAAAAATCCAATGCCAGGGAAGCACAGAAACAAGGTAATAATTCATTTGGTTAGTTTAAAAATTGTTGCCGATGTTTGGATAAAGCAGGTCATGAGACGGGGTGATCTGGGGCAGATGGATTAAACCTGAGGCAGGGGAGGCCTAAGAGCAGAGAGACAAAGACGTTTCTGTGAGTGACAGAACACTGTAGGTGCTGATCATCTGCTGAGATGAGATGTGGGAGAATCTCCTCCAGAGCGGGACTTGCTATCCAGGTTTTCTTCAAAATACACAGGTCTTTGTGGAATGCTGCCATGCTGTTAGATTATTGATCTATGGCAGGGATGGTGATGGGGAGGACTTTTAAAATGGCATTTATGCCAATGAAAACATGATAAGCAGCCTGGAGTTGAGTCCAAAGTTCTCAAATTTAGGGGTAAATCCTGGACTTTCAGTTCATCAACCGGAATTCAGTGTGCTGAGTGTCCAGTGCAGGGCAACTCTGGAGTTGACCATTCAATCTTGTTATCATTTGTGCGCCCATGCTGGGGTCCCAGGATCATCGTCCTTTAAATGGGTGAGTGTTCTCCCAGATATTGATAGAGGTCTTGCTTAATGACCAAAAGATGAATTACTCAACAATTACGCTCTGTCATGCTCATATTCCAACAGCCTCTTTAATTTTAATAGAGCTTTTCAGTCTTGTTTTGTATCACCAATGATTGCCTCATATTTACAGATTATGTTTCTTGGTATTATCTCTCTATTAAAGATTCCCTAACATTACTTATCTAATTGGACCCCCACCAAGCTGCTTTTCTAAACGGCTGCGATTCTTAAGGGCTATCTTGTAAAGCAGAGTAAACGAACAGGGAAACAATGACCCTTGGCCTATATCTGTGTCCTTCCCACTGCAAGTCTTGGCATTTGGCATAATGATTTTGGGCTGATGCAATATCAGACAAAATGGTTTCTAGTCAGAAATGAGTGATGCAATCTGACCACACTGGACTCCTGAACTCCCTCTCCCATTGATTTCACTGAATCGCAATTAGAATGTAGTCAAATGCCGTCATTTGCTTATTGTTACTCTCCAAATCAGAATTCACTTTGCAGTTCTGTATTATAAATTGGCTCTGAAGCCCATGTACCCAGCCAGTCATTGTTGTTAAAAGAATGTAGATCCCCAGCATTAGTCCTGTCCCCTGCCTTGGGTTTTGGCTCTGCAGTAATTTTTGTCCTTGGCAACCCATACTATTATCTCCATTGTTGTAGCTGGGCCTGAAATCTACTGAGTTCTCCCTCCAAATGCCAGGTGCCTGGACCGTCAATTGTCCTCTGCCACAGAGTCCACAGCTAGTTGGTACTAAATTGTGTATAAATTTTAAAATTGTGGTGATGACCATTAGTCGAAATGTTCCAAAAGTGTGTTTCATTTAAGTGATGTCAAAACAGAGAACAGTGAATTGATCTGCAAATCTGTTGGCCTCACTGAGGCTACACCCTCTGGCCTCTGGACCTCACCTTCAGTACCTAACGAAGTAAATGATAATGAACTAACCTGTCCTCCAGAATAACTAAAACAATGACTTTTTGACTTCTCACAGTTGGAGAACCGGTAAAAGTAAGGTAAGCTCGTGGTCATTATGTCTTTTTCTTTCTAATAATTACCAAGGGTCTTTTTAAAATTTTGGTACATGAAGGAAAGTCATAAGAAGTCAGTGATTGCTCTGAGCTAGGGACAGAAATGAGAGTTGAGACTATTGTATCAGGTTGAATGTCAAGGACTAAGTAATGGAAACAAGGGAGCTGAGTAGAAAATTAATTTTTGAAATCTGCATGAGGTTATCTTCAGTCTGTGGCCAAATACAAAGCTTTGGATACCAGGGCTTGTACTTACAATGTCTTATAAAGAGCATCTAGGAAATGAACAACTGTAGAAGCACATGCAGGTCTGAGGGTATAATACCAGAGTGAAGAAACAGTGGCTAGCCTGTGATGCAAAAGTGGCTGAGCCTGAGAAGTATATGCACTCAGCCCTACCAACAAGGGCATGTCTAACTACACTAACACATGTGATCAACATAATCCCAGAAGAAATAAGGGAAGGGAGAAAAGGAGAGGAGATCTATAATGAAAACACATTAACCACTCACTACAATAAAACTCATCATTCTCACAAAAATACATGACATGGCATAACATCTATCATGCCCAGAATAATGATAAAATACTAGATATCAGAAAAAAGGATCACTATTCAAAAGAGGTATCAACCTGGAAAGACAGAATCCAGAACTGGCAGAGATGATTTAATGAATAGCCAAGGACTTTAAAATATTCATATTAAAGTGTGTCTGCTGAGGTGTTTTTTTTTAAGTGAACACTTGTAAAGAGTAAAGAAGAAATATCAGTGGAGATATCCCAGGGAAGCAGAAATTCAAAACATGAAAAATATATTTTTGAAAAAGCATATGTGTCATTTATCACAGCATAAACTACCAGAGATTCCTTAGGTTCTGAAACAATTGTCAGTTAATGGTACCCAGAAAACAAGCCTACACATGACAACCTAAGAGAGCAAGGAAGTACACTTGAGGACAACTTCAAAAGCTGACACAAGAAAACACAATCTTGAGGAAAAAGAACAAGAGAGAGATGAACAAAAATTGTGATAATTAGTGAATTTGGGAAGAGCAGCTTAAGGTGAGCATATAAAAGTCATTAATTACCTGACTGTGCTTTATTAATAAACAATTAGAAAATAAAAACTCTAACAAGATAAAATTAAAATCTTCAGAAAAAATTTTGATAATATGTCATAAAAACCTGTACACTCAAATATGTTTTAAATTCATGAAATAAATTACTATGACTCTATATAAATGGAGATGTCTATCATCTTTATGAATTGGTAGATCCAATATTGTTAAGTCTTCAATATTACTCACAACTTTAATACAGTCTCAATCAAAATTCCAGGTAATTTTTTTGTAGAAATTGACATCTAGTACAAAAATATGTAAGGAAAATGAGTATTTTGTAAAATAGTGAAATTATCTTAAAGATAGAAGAGGAAGCACAGTGTCTTATTTAGTAATTTCAATAATTTAATAAATATGATGTTCCACTAAACACAGACTAGTTGGCTAAAAGAACAGAGTAAAGAATGCAGAAAGTCATAGAGATAATTGAATTTCTGATCAAACTTTTAAGACAATTCAAGAAAAAAGTGAGATGCATTCAACATGATGTTGGAACAAGTATTTCTGTGGAGAAACAGAACAAAGTCAATATCAGACACCAATCTGTAACTCACACCCTCCAAACTACCATCTGCAATAGCATGCAGGCCTAGATAGAAAACAGAAATTTAAAACAAAGCATACTATTATTTGACTTTATGCAACAAAGAATAGAAGCATATAACTCAGAAAGTACTAAGTCATAAAAATAGACTGATATAATGAGCTTCCTCAAATTGCTAAGAATTTTGTTTATCAAA